GTCACTTCTACAGTTACCAGTGGCCGCGGAATTGGGGGGACAGAGGGGCAATGTCCCCATGGTTGTTCGATGTCGGCATCATCTCCCCATCTTATATAAACCCGTCCCTCCTCCATCCTAATTACAATGTTAATGTCCCCCCGGCTTCCGCGGCCATTGTTTGTTTTACTATGTAAAAAACGAGTTGAACCGACTAACTTCCTCCCAGTTTTAATGCCAATTATTCAATAATCATTAATAATATTCAGAATATATAATAAATAAAATGAGCCTTTCAAGCTGTCAGTTTTTATCAAGGAGGAAAATCTATATAAATTTAATTATGGTTAATTTAACGATTTTATAAACGACGACGACTATTTAGCCAAGGAAAGAAGGAATGATTATCTGTTAACGTCTCAAATTACGAGGGGAAGAACAATGCAATCAGTAAAGTATCAAATGCATCGTTTAATTTACAACAATCAACAAATAATTTTTCTGCAGTGGTATTGTTAATTTTGTTCACTGTACACCGGCATTTTCCGTCTCGCCATGTCATGACCTTAAATAATAATTTAATTCGTGACACTCTCCACTCCACAAAACTTTCATCCATGTCTGTACAATTATTTAGAACGGAAACGCAGTCTGAAAAGTGACTTGGAAATTTCAAACCGTTTGGAAACCATAAAAATACTTAAGAAGAGTGAAATTTGCGATGCATTTTTGTAATTATTGTTATTGCAAAAGAATTTATTTTTCAAGGAAGTATAAATTATCTGCATGCAACCCGTATTTTTTCCTGTTTCAAGTGCAATTTTGGAGATTTTCCTACACACAATTTCATACGATTGCAAATTGCGAGAAATGCATTGCCAACTATTTTGCCATTCGTTCGATTGCAAAAATTCTGCATTGTGCAGAACCACCATTAAATTTAGGCGGATGTGACCTTAGGTAAATGTGTTTTGCAGTGACCTGCTGCTGTCCTGTACAGCACGATGCTTTTTTTTGGCATTGCCTTCATAGGTTAGTGCACTTTTGAGCCATTTATTGACAGCCTTTTGAATCCTTTGTTGCGCTGAGACATGCACAACTCTAATTATAATGATTACTCTTTGTGAACATTGTAATTATTTCCAACAAATAGCAAGTAAACCATGCATAACGGATTTCCACTACCACGACTCGCTCGCCAACCACATGATAATGGAAATATGTAGCAAAAGGGACTTGTTCTCGGTGGTGTGATACCAATAAATAAGCACTATTCACAAACACAACCACTGGCACGCTGTTACTTGTAGGCAGTGGCCGCGGAAGGACAGGGGGACAATGTCCTCATGATTATTCGATGTCCTCATCATTTACCCATGTTGTATAAACCTTTCCCTCAACCCCTATCCTACAATTTTAATGTCCCCAGATGTCCCCACGGCTTCCGCGGCCTCTGGGGGAATTCAGGCTACTCAAATGTACGTACACGACCTAGTGGCCGCGGAAGGACAGAGGGACAATGTCCCCACGGTTGTTCGATGTCCCCATCATCTCCCCATCTTATATAAACCCCTCAGTTCCCTATCCTACAATTTTAATGTCCCCCACAGCTTCCGCGGTCACTGCTATAATCCAAATCCTATTTAGCAAGTATCTACTATGCCATCGCCACGAACTGCAGTGTGCAATTATTCCCCAGATCAATGCACTCTTGACTTTTAGCAGGGACTAAGCTAAATTGTGGACTAAATTGGATAGCAACTATCAAAGCAAGGCATGCAGTTACAATAGATTGTGAAATCTTATCCCTGCACAAAAGCCGAGTGAGTGAGATAATGTGATAGTGAGGTGATCAGATTTGTTCTCATTTCTATAATTTCCCGTCATCCTGCGATGATATAAATACGATACGTTACGAACGAGGTGGTGAAGGAGGGATGCCTGACAAACATTTTTTTCTTCATGGTGTAGTTAAAATGTGTATCCTCATTAAGCCATGATGGTAAAAGAAATAGTGTAATTTTGTACGATTTTGTGAAATATGTAGTTTGTAAATAAAAAATTAACCGGAATTTTCTAGTTTGAAAAAAATATACAAGCTATCGAAACTAAGAATGGAGGTGTCCCAGCGGATGCTCTCTGATTTTTTTAGCAGTGTCAATCGATCACAAATTTAATTAAGATGGAATTTGCAAGAGATACGATCTCCCAATGGGGACGTTTGGCTGAGATATTTGCATCCCAAGAGGAGAAAACGAGCCTTAAAGTCGATAAATTACACACTTTTCAAATTTACTTCCCGTTTTCTCCTCTTCGGATGCAAACATACTCATTGGGAGATCGTGTCTTTCGCAAATTTTATCCTAATTAAATTTGTGCTCGATTGACACTAATTTCCTCAAAAATCTGAGAGCATCCACTGGGAGCCCTTCATTGTACTCAGTCTCTCAAAACCTACGAGTTGACACTGACACCTAACTAATTTATGACTCCAGTTTCTCAATTGGATTCTTCTCTTATTATACAAAACTCGCAAAACCAAACCAAACCAAACCACTCCAAGAGAAGAGAAAAAGGATAAAAAAACAAGAATCAAAACAAAGAAGAGAAGTATATATATCTATCAAGGAAAAACTGCATTTCTATAATTTAATTCCTATATTTGCTTGCAAATTGCCATCCTCTCCTCTAGAAGAACCTGTAGCCATTAAGGAATCGCCATTTTAGGTTCACTCACAACAATAATAATAACATTGTACATTTTATTTCATATCCATCCAACAACTAGTTTGTTTTGTTGTCATTGAGGTTGGGTGACGATGAAATGAAGGAGATAATAATTCATCACAAGTTCCACATGACATCCATTAAAATTTGCATAATCGCAGACTCTCTGAGAGATACTTGGAGACCTTGAGGTGTGAAATTTTGTTGATTTTCATAATTTAAGTCTAATCAAGTCGACATACAGAGAAGGAAAGTGCACACACGACCAGTGGCCGCGGAAGCGTTGTTGGGGACAAAAGAGGGAAAATGTCCCCACGGTTATGCGATGTCCCCATCATCTCACCATGTTATATAAACCCCTCCCCCCCCCTATCCAACAATATTAACGTCCCTAGATGTCCCCACGGCTTCCGCGGCCACTGCAGGCACACACACACAACTCATATTTATCCTGCATTGTTGTAATATTTATTTATGAAACATAACAACATGCTTCTCGAGGCGAATAATGGAAATATTATTTTTTTATTGCACATGTTGTGCCGCATGGGAAAGAAAATCTTATAAATTTTGTCATATTTTATTTTTTGGAGTGGGATAAAAAACATATTAGGATTCTACAATGGTGTTTAATGACTAGTGAATGAGAGACATAATAAATGCGTCTCAATGCTATATGCACATTTTTGTAGCGTGGTGACTAGACTCTGAATGCGACGATTATTTGAAGGTAGGCGTCAAATAAATCGTACTAATGTTCTGCTGACAATGACCAAGAGGTAAGAAAAAATGGTACATAATTGAAACAAGTTATGGATGTATGTAGAAGTGCATATTGTAATAAATTACAGGTTTATTTAGCTCGTAACCAATAAGGAATTGTAAATATATGTAGACTAATCTGTTTTTTAAGGCATCGCGCTTCAAAGTTAGTGAAAATCTGCTTTAGTTCGGTTTTGCTGCCAAATTATTAAAATTCTTTGAAATCTTTGTCCGACTTTGTAAAATGAGAGAGGTCGAAAAACAATCTGTTTTTTAAACTAGTTCGTAACTAGCTGTTTATTTTCGAAGTTTCTTATCGGAAATATGTGTATTTAACGGCAAGATGGTACTTATCACCTACTCTTCTTCTCCGTCTTGTTGATAAGCTAATGAGATGAGAACTTTGTAATCTTGAATTTGAAATATCTTATTTCCTCGTCAACAATGTAATGTCGGTAGCTGGCAACCGACATCACGCCACATTCGACATCAACAGCCTCCCGGCACCTGCACACTGAATAACGCATTGACACGTGTCAAGTGCAAAAAAAAAATTGCGAAACTCTTCTTCTCCAAATAAATAAGAGAAAAAAAAACAGTTTACAACTTTTGTCTCCCGAACAAACCAAAGCAAATGTACGGTTTAAAGTAGTGATGGAATCTTTCCAAGAATCTTATTTATATAAGTATATAAATATAAATATATAAATATATATATAAATATATATAAATATATAATCTTATTTATATATTTATTTATATAAGAATCTTATTTATATGTGAGAAGAAATAACGTCAAATCACCAGTTTTCCTGCATATGATTGAAAATCAACACAACATAGATCTAAATTCCCTCAAACTGATATTTCCAGAATCAAGAAAATTCCACAGAAAATTCAAAGAAGGATTATCAATAAGAAATACACCAAACAATATGAATTCTTCACGTGGGATGAACATCAACCCCATATGGTGCTCCACACTTATAAATTTTTTAAAATTTGATCCGGTCACTTAGCAAATTATGAGTAATAATTTGCCATTATTAAGTAATTTGTATTTGTACATTTCGTAAAATTTTATGCAATCAATTGACTGAAGAAGGATCAAGAAGATCCGAAAGCTATCAATAAATTGTTGTTTAAAAAATGTCCTCCCAAACCGTGCAAAATAGGATACCAAATAATAACAGAGGATGGAAGGAAATACACACCAAACTTATTTATATATTTGTTATTCAATCGAATCGAGAAATTTTACGAGCGCAGGCGGGCCGAGAGGATTCGCCCCCCATCTCAATTTCATTTTAGTGATGCATAAAAAAAGTGTACGTAAATACGTATGCTTCAACTGTTACACAAAACAGATCTTTAAAGAATGAACATTGACAGGTATAAAAATAAATGTAATGCGATGTCACAAAAACACTGTCCACGTACGTCAACACATTCCGCTGTCTAGTAATAAATCGTGAATCTCTACTACGTTACGGATGTATGCATGAGGAAAAAACAGAGAAAACTGTACGTACCATGATGGCGATGTAGTTCCGATGGTTGTAGGGAAGCGGTCCATCGCCACGCATCAGAAAGTGGTGAGTTTTCAAAAAGATTTCCAGATAGTCGGGATGATAAGCCATCTGTAAGAAGAATTTGGGTAAAAATTTAAATTACAGGGCAGTAAATAAATACTTTGATGTATCTGATTTTCATGAAAAAGTAGGATATTTAGACAGTGGCAGGGGAAGTGGACAACGTCCCCACGGTTGTTCGATGTCCGCATCATCTGCACATCTTATATAAACCCATCCCTCCCCTATCCTACATTTTAATGTCCCCAGATGTCCCCACGGCTTCAGCGGCCACTGAAAAAGTAGGAGAAAAGTGCATTACTTACCAGTTGAATGGTATGATCAACACGTCCTGAGACCAAAAATGCTTCCGACAAGAGCCGTGCCTGCAAGGAAATAAATGGTTGAAAAATTAGTTAAGTAAATAGAATCACGAGAAATAAAAGAGATACAAAATAATAAAATGTGGGACAACGTACGAAACGAAGACGTTAATTTTTATCGTTATTTTCTACTACTACTTCCGTTCACACTACTCTCTGCAAGATTATTTTTGAGCGACGACTTGTCTCTGAATGTTCGAGAGCTATATATAAATATGTGAAGTAGTATCAACGCAAAACCGCAAAATAACCAACACTGTACATGTGTAATTATACTACTGGACACGAATTAAATATGTTCATACGTCCTTCACTGCATACTTGTGCTTATCAATATTTGCAGTCAGTCATATTGCCTTCGTACATAATAAACGTTTTAATATGGGGACTCACTCATGAGCTAAAATTGGATGACACACAGAGAAGAACAGGACAGAATATTTTACACGATTTATCACGACTAATTTGGATTTAGATTAACATTTCGTTGGTTCGACACACGTATGTGCAGAATATTCTATAAAATGTGATGTAATATTCCTGGTTGGTTAGTTGTGGTGGTCAATAATGTTTGGTCAATAATGAAACGTGGACAATTAGTGTTATTATTGTTGTATTGTTTAACTCGGATTTTTTTTCGACCAACAAGCAAACAACATCCTATTTTGCAATTCTGATTTGCAAATTGTATAACGCGAAAAAATAACGTAAACTGGAACGGGATCGATCATCAAAATTTCCCAATCAAACAGAAAAATTAGACAAGGTCAAAAATGTTCGTGACCTGTTCCAATTTTTTTTAAATGAAGGGTTAAATCATGGTTTGCATTGTTTATTATTAACTAATGATGAAACAAACAAATAGAACAATGGATTTATTTATGAAGTAACTAAATATTAGCAGATTTTTATTTTTCCACATCCCAAAATTGGATACTTTCTCATCAACGAAATAACGGCACAACTAATCAGGAGACCAACCACATCCTTAATTTAATTTCGTCTCATTTCTTTGTCTCTCGTCCACTTATTGACTATAATTATTTTATTGTTTGTATGGTACGTGGCTTAGGAATTGTTGCAGAAAAAAAAATCAAATTCAAAATTAGCAAAGTATCTAATTTGCTGATAAAAATTAGGCCAATTTCTTTTCATTTTTTCACTCCCTCAAGTCAAATAATAGTAATAATACGATGCAGTAAAGGTGAAAATTTTTCATACTGCGCCAAACCAAGCCACTAACGAACCTAGAAAAACGAATTGGCTAATTAAATATAAATGAGTCAGAATTATAACAAAGTCACGAAACGAAGGAACAAAAGTGATGATAACGTTATTCCTATTCTATGATAACGATGGACGTGTTATAATAATCATCTCGCCAACGAAACGAGCTTAATGTTTCACTTTTTATCATGGTTCACCTTACTTGGTCAATACCAATAAAGATTTATTTATCTAAATTTAACATTTAACTATTGACTAAAAGCTTTTATCAGTCGATATGTACACACATTCAGAAAAAGAGACGGCGAGGCTCCAAAATATTATTTTTACTTTTCAATGCGAGGGTTCAATTTTTCAAATTAAATACGTTTGTCAATCAAAATCTGAGACATTCATCACTCTCAGTGGCCGCGGAAGCTGTGCGGGGACTGTAAATTGTAGGATGTAAGGAGGGACGGGTTTGTATAAGATGGGGAGATGATGGGGACATCGAACAACCTTGGGGACATTGTCCCTCCGTCCCCACGTACGCTTCCGCGGCCACTGATCACTCTTAATATATGAGATCAACACCACACCACCCATCCCGTCACAAACATCCGGGTCGTACGAGTTTCTTCTCTGAACGTGTCAATCTTATCAAATTATAAATTTATCATCATTCCGTTCCAACTGCGAAAACAGAATTGACAGCGAATTATGCAACAGTGCAATTTTTAGGGTTACGTAATAACGGTAAATATGTATTTAGGTGATGCACACACATGACTCGAGTAGCCAGCCAGCCAACCAGCCACTTAAACAAATTAGCGAATCAATAAATAAAATGATTGATGGAAATCTAGTGCGATGAGGGTGAAGGCCGCGGAAGCTGGAGGGGACAATGTCGCCACGGTTGTTCAATGTCCCATGTTATACAAACCACTCCCTCCTCTATCCTACAATGTTAATGTCCCCACATGTCCCCCCGCAGCTTCCGCGGCCACTGCTGAGGTTGAAGGCCGTGTAGGTGAACTTTTCTCAATAAAAAAAGTGCACTTGCTCAGTGGTTTTTTATTATCGCCAATTATGCATTATCGCAAATCGCTACTACCACCACCGATATTATTATTGCATGTAAATTGATGATGGGTGGTGGTCTGGTCTGATGCTCATCTTTTCTCGTGATCGGATGCTCCCATATCTCAACATCCATCAAAAAGTTTGATTATTTAAGACGATTTATTTCAATAGTGTAAAGCCCCCCTTAAATTTGACGCTCCATTAATTTTTACTCGAAATAAAAGAAGACATGAAAATAAATTAGGGCCAAAAAACAACAAACGAACGGATGCGGCACACAATACTATAATTTCGTTCGGCCTGTGTAACATAACATAACATTGAAATTAAGAGGATAATTATTAATTTCACACTGCACCAGGCAGCCAACCAGCTACAGATAAGTGCTGAACAACCCATATCTTTCATCCGTGTATTTATTAACATTGTAAGTAATTGAACCATAAAATTAGATAATTTCAGACCCCACCAATTATTTATTCTTCCTGCACAAGGATGAATAAGTAGGTAGTTAAGTGTTATCCGCCTCTCCATGCACATCACGGGTCCAGTGGCCGCGGAAGGGTGGGGGGACAAAATCATCTCCCCATGTTATATATACCCCTCCCTCCCCCCATCCTATAATGGCAATGTCCCCCGATGTCCCCACGGCTTCCGCGGCCACTGCACATCATCATCCTTTAACTTATGTATTGTGTTATGAAAAAGAATGCAATGCATGACTAGCAGGAGTCAAATGAGTTTAAACATTTTTATATTTAACGAAATATTATGTGTGTGTAGATATTCCATTGCAGTTTAATCGGTCAATTACTCCGTTGACTGCTGCCATTAAATACAAGAGAACAGCACACGAACCAACATTTATTTATCCATAGACGTCCTCCTCTGTTAGTTATGTATACATTCGCTCTTGCATTGCATCTTTTTTTCTCAGTGGCCGCGGAACAGAGGGACAATGTCCCCACGGTTATTCGATGTCCGCATCATCTCCCCATCTTATATAAACCCCTCCCTCCCTTATCCTACAATGTTAATGTAAATGTCCCCACGGCTTCCGCGGCCACTGTTTTTTTTTGCTGCAGGACCTTTGATATCAAATACATGGCTGTATTGTATATATATTTGTTCTTTAATTTTTAATTCATCACACTCATCATGACACTAAACTTATCTCTGTACGAGCCAAAGTTAGTGCATATTTGTCGCAAAATGTTATTATTGAGCTAACTGCGTTTCGCTGCGTTCGTTGATCTTTTTTATTAAAAGTTGAAAAACAGTTACAAAATTAAGTAAGTTGTGTTATGATTATCAATTCGTAAAAAATTTATAATTCGTGTGAAGAGAGGAAAGTTAAAGGAGAGAGAAAATGTCGAGATTGGTGATAAAAAATTATCATTTAAAGTATTGAACATACATGAGACAGATAATTATGTACTTTGGAAGGAAGTAAATTGAGTTTGACTTGTGTATAACGGACCATTTTGGTCGTAAAACTAATCAAAGTTGGAAATGATACTGTATCGCAAATAACATAAAACCAACTTGCACATGTAAGGAATCAAGAGAAATACGGTTGCTTGGATCTTGTGATGATGTTGATTTGATGTCGTGTTGCAAAAATTTAACGCGTTTTTAATCAAACTAATTCGTGATAAGTTTCACTGCACATTTACTAATTGACTCATGCACTCAAAGATATTTTTGCAGTGTGCAAATATTTATGCAGTAATAAACCGGTATGCGTCACAATAAATAAAATTGTGCTAAAAATGAGGAGAAAAAGACATGTTTATTCACTCTGCAATTTTTCTGTATCATGAATGACGGGAAAAACGTTTATGTGTTTGGATAGTCCAAGTAACAAAAATTCAGAAGACTCATATCTTATTTACGAATAAAAAGCGCAAGTCATGCACTTTACTGATAAGGGGATTGATACTGCATAATTTAATCTGCATAAGTGATCTCATGTTTAAGTCATTAAATACTGATGCATTAAAATTTCGCACATTTTACTTTATCCTTGTACAAATTAAGGTTGCATGTTGTACACGAGCAGAAAAAAATAGTGCAAAGAGTGCAGTGCTCAAGGTTGCATTATTTTGTCCAGCAGCAGATGTGCTAAAATTTAAATCCGGAAAGGATTGATGACTCATAATTCACTCAGGCACATCACATTTGTCCTTAAGAGTTCTTTTCTATTCATAAGAGAGAAGAAGAAAGAATGAGGAAAATGAGTTTGAAAATTAAATGCTGAATCGGGCTGATGCATAAATGTTGAAATTATCATGTTTGTAAGGAAGGACGAGGAGCTGCCGTCATTCCACGAATTACATAAATGCATACAAGATTTATTAAAGGAAATCATGCATTCTAACTAAACCCTGATTAGATGTATGTATTGTTCTTAATTTAATTTTCGGACAAAGAAAACTTATCGCCATCTTATCAGGATGTAAATATGTAGATAAAGTCAATGCCTTATTAAAGATTTGTATTGTATGTAACCTGTTTGTGTGTTCGCTGGACTATGTATGTATGTACAAAATTGATAATAATATTTACAATTATGCAGCATATTGTGAAAAGAGAAATGAAATGAATAAGTGGTGTCAACGTCAGCAAATCTAAAAATATTTTAAGCTTGGTATTGTTTCTTGTGCTTAGTCAGCGCTTTTACTTACTCAGCGATATGACCTTTTGGCTTAGAA